TGGCAAATTCCAAAGATGTAATATTTATGAGTAAGTCATAAGACACTGTTTTTTTAACTTGTGCATCACAATTAAACTCAGACCTTCAAACCAATGTATAATTATAAAATGACTTGAGGTGGTGCCCATTCCTATGTCAGGAAACCTGTGAGAGTTTTGCTGTTGAGTTCAATAGCTGCTAAGACATACCTCTAGTAAAAGTTTAAAATCAAAACTCTGAAAGCAAATCCTGGAATCCCATTTTATAGTTGAAAGTGGTTTACACAAAGGAAATACCTTACAAACTTCCAAACTTATATAGTAAGCCCACAGCAAATCCATAAAAGTATATCTGTCATATGAAATATATCTCATCATATGAAAATGTAATCCAGTGTCCTGAATAACAAAATAGCATCTTTCTTCACTCTTCTATATTTATCCCAAAGTAAATATTATGTATGTTATTTAAGTTAATAGGTTAGATACCAGATGGTCTAGCTTTTCAGTTCAAGGCAACATATAGTTAAACAAAAGTATTATTTTTCTAACTTAAAGCACCAAACCTAATTTCCTATTAACAGTCATGCACTCAGGAATCAGATTCCCAATTTGTAAATATTTTGTCAGTAACTGGACATTCATAGCAGGAACTAAAATTTTGACAGGAATTATCCAGAATGCATTAGCAGTCCTTTTGCTTAATACCTACATTACTTGCTTGCAAAAACAATACTAACACTAATTTGGTGTTCACAGACACAACAAACAGCAAGTACTCTGCGAATGGCTCACAGGCAACTAATAGGCTGAATATAATCTACAAAAATATGGTACAAATAACTGTAAATAAGTATAACTGCAGAAGGCAAAAAGGGGCAGCATACAGAGACTGTTATTGGCAAGATGCAGTATATTTGTAATTTGACTTTTCAACTGAACTTTAAAATATTGGCATTGAAATCAAAATAAAGAGTCATATAAAAAAAACACTTCTAGCCCTGTTGTCACTGCAGTACCAATCATTCTGTCAGTCCTGAGGGTACATTTTACATAAACGACTACAGTTAAATCCCCTCGCTTATCACAGACTCATCACAAGTTGTCTGTGTTGATGCGCAGCAGCCATATGTATCCACGTTCCCAGCTTGCTTCTGGGGCTGACTAAAAGAAGAAAAATTGTCAGATTAGACTTTGAAAGGTCTTTTTTCTCTGGTACTGCAGGAATAAAAAAGCCAAGGCCAGGATATGAGTTTGAACATCAGTATGAGCAATGTTACTCCTAGTTACTTTAACTCCTGTTACTTTATACGATCTCCACATGTAGCTTCTTAGTCAGGCACAATTCGCTACTGCAGTGCATACATCAATACTTAACTCAGCAAGGTATTGAAGTTTCTGATCAAGCTAGTAAGTAAACTTCGTATTTTTCAATTTGCTTATTGTTAACTGTAAGTGGAAATCAAGTTGTAAGTGCAAAGTTACCACCTACAGAATCAGAACATAGCTTTTAATCAAAATCAGAGTGAACTAAACCCATTAAATTTATACAATTCCTCACATTTATACAATTTCCCCCACATAAAGTTGTGAGATTTGGATTTTCAGCTAAAGCAAAACCCAACCCAGGAAACCTTTGGGTACCACCATAAACAACTATTTGAGGCCTAGTCACATATCCAAGTCATTAAAAGCAAAACTGACCTGTACCACAGTGCATATATGCATAAATTTTAGATCCCGCATATTACCGTTTATGTGACTATGATGAAATGTTTTATCGGAATACCAGATACAGTTCCAGCCTTAAATGTACAAGAATTAATTATTTTAAAAATCAAAGGACTAACGGTCTTCCATCCTGCCCCTCCTTAGTGCTAGAAGAACTACAGGTAGGTGTTTTTTTGTTTGTTAGCGTTGCTGGGTATTTAAACAGTAGAAAATGTGTGCCTTTACAAACATTTCATACTGTCTCCTAAAAGGATGGTGGAGTTCAACTTGAACTTTTAATTCAACATCCAAGTAAGTCCAACATTAGACAAAATTAATTCACTCATCTGGTCCTACACGCCTTCTGGCAAATACAGCTTCCAGCACCACAGCAAATAGCGAATTTATACCTGTGTGTACACATGTGAAGGCCCTATTCAGGGTTAAAGAATACATAACTTGACAATGTATTATGTACTTTAGGAAACACAACATGATTGATGCAACCAGACACAAAATACTTCAGCACGTAACAGAGAAGCAGAAAATTCAGGAGAAAAAGATAAAATCCACAAAACCCCAAACTAAATCACTTTTGTTACTGAAACAAGAACTAAGAGTCAGGCTTTCATGAAAGAAAGCTAGGCACCAAGAAATCAAGAGGTGAAGAAAATACTCATTCCATTTTAGCTTGCTATGTTCAAATGTTTTTCCAGTTTACCTAGCTTCAGTTTCAAATTATTAATTTTTCTAAACTCTTTTTGCTGTAGCATATTTTACATCTTCTTCCCATTAAGGTATTAACTGTATTAACGCTGTAATCATAAGGGTTTGACCTATTTAGTTAAAAGAATGTCATTTTGTGCATTTCTCCGAGTACTTCTTGCAAGCTAATTATAGGTCTCATCTTTTGGAAATCTAAGTTTTCCCCAAAGACATGAAAAGCTGGGCCCCAAAACCAGAATCATAAATAACAGAATTATAAAGCTAAATCACTGCCCTACACAAGGTTAAAAAATGGAGACCTTTCCTTTTTTTTGTCAGTGATTCCTTAATTCTACAACCAGAGATCATATTACAACCTCATTTCCCAACACATCACGCATAGAGATCATGCTGAGTTATTTCTCTGATCTTTTTCGTATTGTCTCCTCAAAGCAGCCTCTTCTTTCTGCTCCTATGCCTTCATGTAGGTATTACATGGATTATTTGATACTATAATATTTCAGTTTTTTTTTTCTTTCAATAGGCTTAATTTACCTCTCAGTCTAAAGAGTTCTTTGACCTTGACAGTTTGGCTGTCCACCAAGCTTTGTGACTTTTAAGTGATTTTCTATTTACTTTATACTACTAAACAGATACTAAATAATATTAGACCTATTATTTATGTCTTCAAGATTCTGGTAAAAACACCCCCATTGACAACTACTTTTGAGATCCGTCAATCAGCTACCTCTTCATTCATTTCACATGGGCTGCATAGATATGAATAGTGCCATTTCCCTATCACAATGTTGAAGGCAACTATATTATATATACAGTTACCTTTATCCATCAAAACTGCAAACTCATGTACTGAAAATAAATTTACACCACCAGGCAGATTTTGCATATTGTGTACTGAGTATTTTTTACACTCTTTGGTGCTTTATCAGTTTAGGATTATTTTTTTTTCCCCCATCTTGCTCATTTCTAATGATTTGTTGTTTTTCTAGAAGCCTGTCAGATCAGCCATATTACAGGAGGTTTTCTTGCTTGCCTTTCCTGAAAAATAAAGCCCAACAGCTCTGTGGGGTACCTCAGCCTATTTATTTCAGCAGCTATATTAAACCCTGAAAAATTTATATATATTTTCAACCAATTCTTTTGGGGAAAGTGTGCAGTGTTCAGGGGTTGCTCTGTATTTAAGCTTATTTTGAGGACTCTTGTTCACTTACTGTCCTACCCCAAATGGAGAAAGAGAACAGATTTCAACTGCTGTATAAGAAATGTCAACCTTGAAAGCACAAGATATTTAGCCCTACTAATTTAAAATGTTGAATCCCTAGGAGATGCTATCTACTGTCTATTACTAATGGACTAGAGTGCTTCATTGTTGTCAATCACATCACCAGATACACCTACATAATTTCACAGCTTTCCAAATACAAAATAAGGTTTTTATTAGTGAATACCTGTGCCTTTTTTACATTATTATTAATGGCTCATTACCTCCATCTGGCTTACGACCCAGTAGGATTTATTATGTTCCATGTACAGTTAAGACAAAACCAAACACCTAGCCCATTATTTTATTGATTTCCATTAAGAGTCAGGGATTTCTTTCATGCTGTCTCCAACTTCTCTTGTCCATCTTCAACAGTTTCAAATTTCTAATTTTTACTGATTATTATTTTCTTATCTTCTCTTTCCTATTACCATATGACTGGTTTTAATAGCTATTTATTGCCTTCATTTCATTACTTGTGCTGTTCAGTGAATTGAGCAAATCAAGAAGAAATAGGCAGGCTTAGAAAAGGCCATGGAAAAGAGGAATGCCCATATAAGTGGGAAAAGAACACAAGTCTTGAATTTGAAATTGGTACTTCAGAGGAAAGACTTCACCTCCGTAAAAAGATAACTGACATCTACAAGTGCTAAGTATGATGTAAGAATTACGTATTTTTACTCTGTTTTATCAAAAGCATTCATCCTGGACTGCAGAGTTGTGACCTAGCAAGCATTTTTAACATTCATTCACATTCTCTCTCTTCTCTCAAAAGTGTAAGCCCCAGTCCTCATAATAGTTATTGCAGCCATTCTCCAGCATACATTTGTAAATAGAAGTCCCAATTGATAATAAATTGATACTTTACAAGGATAGCTTATCCTGTTCTCTAGTCTGATTTGAGCAGTATAGAGAAGACCCCTTCCTGCATTTGTTGCTGAAGTGTGCTAGATAACACGCTGACTTGCAGGCATTCAAGATCTAGCACTGGCGAGTTTTCAGCAGCCTTAAATCAGGTAATTATTTCTTTAATAAAGAAGATCTCTTTCACACTGATAGAAGCATAGAGTCTAAATTCCAGAATGAGGTAAACCAGTTTACAGTATTTTGGTCATGTGAATCACCCCAATCAGGTATCTTCAATAATACCATGTATATAAAATATTTCCCACCACTGACAATTTCTAGTTTTTATTTTTGCTTTAATATTTAGCCTTGATAACAAAGCAGCTTTAGAACTGCCTTTCTTCACAATTTTGTGAGCCTGAGTTTGTGCAGGACTCGTATATTTAATGTTCTCTAGGATGCTTCTGCTTACCTGTCACTGAGAAGACCAGCGCTTTCCTATGAGAACAGGCTGACTTGCTCACTTGAATGTTTTTCTTGTGAAAACACAGTATCTCCCCCAAAACACACACACATCATACATACAACAGTTCACCTCTTGTATTTTCTGCTGTCTCTTGTTTATGAAACCATAAGGACATCTGCAAAGACACCTCATATTTTTCACCCATGCAGTTGCCTTCAGAACTCACACTGGAAAAGGCTTTTTTTAAGTATGCAGTTATTCCATACCTTAGTTATATAGCTATCCTATATAAAGTTATGCAAAATAACTTTATACTTTGTGACAAACCTTACTGTTATGGCTTCCATTACATGAATGTAGAACACCTTGTATTTTGTTTTTGAAAAGACTTCTTTTTTGTTATTTGTAATACAGAATTCTTGACGACTTCTTGCTTCTGTAACACGCATTAATAACTTCCCTTAGTACCCTTCTTCACGCCAAATAGCATTCCCAAAATATGTTCCTGGTAACTGTGTTTTATCCTTCCAAAACAGCTATCTCACTATATGACTCATCAAATACATGATAAAAATGTAACATTCCTAGCTAGATAGAAGACCTCCTACTTCTCTTTAGCAGTTCATTATCAAATCACCAATCTGTTTCATTTTCTTTGTAGTGTTTCTGGCAGGGCTCTCAAACTACGTCATCCCAAGAAAAGCTTTATTTTCTTCAAATACTGTGTTGATATTTTCATTCCAGATCACTAACCTTCTCCTTCACAATTATCAGATTATACTTAATGCTGCTGCAATCTCTTTTTTCACTTTGAAGTATTTTAAGGACGAGGGCTTCATCAAGATGTAGGTTAGTGGTTGAATCCTTACAGACAGGGAGATGGAGAGATGAAGTGGGAAGCAGAATAGAAAACACAACCTGTCCAAGGCAGCTTAGTCATTGCACTCAATTACTCATTATCTTCTTCTGTTACCTGCTGCAAAGCCATCTGTTAGTGGAAGGAACTCTACTCTCCTTCTCCAAATTTGCTCAAAATCCCTTGCTTACCACTCTGTTCAAGCAGTTCCTTGGGACAGCTTGCACACATAAAGTTAATTGTCTTCTTACATGTTTACAAGGTCAAATGTTTGCCAACGAGATTAAGAAGTTACCAGTGTTTTAATTCTTCAATGAATAGGAACATTATCAAATTCCCAAAATAAAACATTAAAAAAATTATCTTTTTCCTCCATTTTTTCACCAGTCCTTGAGATATTTTTCACTGAACATATTTGATGAAAAAAAGAGTTACAATTATTAGTCACTTCAGCAAATAATTCAGGATATTTTGGTTTTTTTTAGATTCTAATCTCACACAGGACACATAGGGACAGATGGTGTTCATGTTCAAGCTTTACAGTATTGCACATATTAACTTTGCAGTACATTGAACCAAACTTCTCTAAATGTTGAATTAATCAGTTAACTCCTAATACAGTATTTTCATTTCCTTGAATAATACTGTTTGGTATTTATAAGCCTGTTGATCAAAAAACAAATAATGCATAATAATTTTCCCCATACAACTCAGTGAAATAAAACATTATTACAATAGCTATAACATTATATAGTTTTTTACTGAGTTGCAGAATTCATGCTTTGTTGTGTAGAAGATTTACTACGCACAGCTATTCTATTTTTTTCATTGTTTTTACCCTTGAAAATACCATCTTTAACATTCAGGCTTTAATATCTGGTAGTATAAGGTACCAACTTAATTTATAGTTAAAGGCAGTCAATATAGTTAAATGTAGTTAAATACTTTGCTGTGAGCTTAAAAACAGAAATACATTATCTATTTGTTTGAGTTGAGGTTTTTAAAATGACTTAGAAGGAACAGTATCATTTTCTTATTGAGAGCTTTCCATAAATATTGTTAATAAATAGGTAGATATACGGGGAAAAGTAGTCAAATTTAATCTGCTTTTATAAGAACATGTATTTGCAGTGAAATTACTGGGAACTGGGAAGAAATCAAACACATTAGGTTAAATTTTGTGCTGTAAAACAGGTTTTTAACTTTACATTCCAGATGTCCTCAAATAGGAATGCCAAAGGTAATTGTCCTCAAATAGGAATTCCAAAGGTAATTATTGAAATTGATACAATTTTCCTCTGTCCAAAGAGTATTTTTACTTGACCTTGATTTTATCTGGCACTTTACTGAATTAATTTTATTCAAATTAGCATCCTGTAAAAATACTGAACTTACAAACCACTCCTAATGAGTAAACTGTGTTGGATTTTTCCTCCTCATCATCACAAATTGCTTATAGAGAGGTATGTTTATCAATTTTGTCTTTTTGAAATAGTTTCTGTGACAGATTGCTTGTTTAATATCTTCTAATGAGAAAATTGCTGTACAAAACCCCAAGTGTTTAAAATCCATCTTGTGGTATTTTTCATACCCATCTTTGAACTCTGCTGTTCAGCTCCCCAGATCAGTCCATTTTAAGTGAGAAACTGCAGTATTTCTTCTAAGGAAAATCACGTCTATTCACTTCATATTTGTCCTACACACTACTTTTTATAGTATTCATGTGATACGCTAGTGTCATAAATTGTTGAAGTAACTATTTGAAAAATTTAGTTTCTATCTAATAATGAGGCATGAATTCATAATAGTGATGATTATAGAAAATCATTTGAATGTCCTATATGGGGAACATTCTGATGTAACAACAAAGGTAAAAGAATGGAACAGTAAGTCGTTTCTCATTGTTCTTATTAACTAACCAGAGAGTTTAAACGCATTAAGAGACCATCCTGTAAAATCAGGGGAACACTAAAACCCGGCATATAAAAGAGATTTACTCAAGAGACAGCTCAGCTGTACGTTAAACACTTCCAGCTGAAAGATAAGACAGATACAACACTCTAATCATCTGTTTCTACATATGTGCAGGGGTTTGGGTATTCACAGGAGTTTTTGATTCTCATCTGTGTTGGCTAGTCTATGCACTATGTTTGATTTTCTAAACTTCTGTTGTGCTGTTCTTTTTAAACACCCTGAAGAAATGCAAGTCCAGGGAAGCTTCCTCAATACTTTAGAGTAGCAATCTCACTGAAGCCTTTCACTCAGCAAATTTACATCCACATTCTGCTTGGAGTATACAAAGTCCAACAAATACCTCAGGTTTACAGTTTCATTTGGCTGCCTTTTGAGGGGGAAAAAGTCTATGCCAGTTGTCATTGTTCACTAACATCAGAGGTGAATTTGCTCCTATCTGATAAATCTGCCATTTCATTAGATGAAGCTGGTAGATTGATCCACTTTTAAAAGCACGCAGACATTTCCCTATATCTTCATGTTAGGAAGAGAAACAGCTGAATTAAAAATAACTAACTAAACAAATAAGGTATAGGGTTCCAACTATCAGTTTTCATTTAAGAACATTTCAGGGATTATTAAGTAATTTAAAAATTGTAATACTACAAATTCAGATCATCAGAGCTGTAATGATTTAGCCAAGATTGACCAAAAGCAGATCATCCAGCAAAACAGTTCAGGTTTTGAACTTGCCATCAGATTCCAAACAGCCACAGCCAAGGATCCATTAGCACAGCAAACCGAAGGTTGTGATTTGATCCTAAGATCACTATTTCTCTCTTCCCTAGACGGAGGGTTCACCCTCATTAGAATACAATTTTCACAGTAACTATAAAAGGAATAAAAAACTATTATCATCTAGTTGATGACAATTATCCACTCCAAACTTGCTTAAGTTTTCCTTTAGTATTAACATTTTCTGTAAATCTCTCTTTCCTTTATCCTTTCTTTAGTTCCGACTCTCTGACAATTCAGAAAGTTCTATAAAAAACCTTGCTTTAGACTCCCCTTGCCATTGCAGAGTTTTCCTGCTTTCTCATATCTAAAGTACCTGAACAACTGTCTGTTCCAGCTGTCTGAAGACATTATTCCTTGAAAAAACAGATTCCGTTATTAAGTTTAATGAGCAAGAAGGAAGAAAAAGTTTTTTTACTTGCTCTGTCTGCACTATTCGACTTGTCTTCGCTTTCACAATTCTGCACTGACTGGTGTGTCTGTGTTTTTACTGACAACTTTATTCTCCCCTGTCCCAGACTCATTCAGTGGCTTGTCCTGTTGCATGTTAGGAATAGTGCAGGCCAAGCTGTTCTTAAAACTTTTGACCAAAACCTTCCAAATCTTATTGTGTACCAATTCAGCCTTTCTTCTTTTCAGCCTCACATGCATTCCTCACATCTAAGCACCAGCCCAGCATGAAAGAATACCAGTTGTTATCCTTAACCCCTGACAACTGCCTTTGTTTCTTCACCATGTTAATTTTTCTTTCCCAAGCATGAAAATCTTGTACTATACCAGATTGTTCTTGTTTTGTTTGTTGAGTTTTTTGTTGTTTTTTTCCCCCAGACACAGTCTTCATATCCATAGTGTGAAGATGTTTTGCAAAGGATTTGTCTCTAACATTGCCTCTTCAAATTCTGAACAAGTGAAAATATTATAAAGATGCTATCTGCTGTACTTATCAGCTCATATCAAAACTGACGTGGCCGCATGAATAACAGACAAATAGGCAGAAGCAATTTGTGGGAAAAACGCTAATAAAAGGTTAAAAAGAAATGATAATGCAGAGGAAAAAAAAAGGAATAAACTTACTTTGTGTTAATTCACTGTATTAATAGTACTTGGTTTGCATTCATTTTATCCTTTCCTATATGGAATTAAAAACGTATTTATGGTAATCCAGAAGCTGGATTTATTTTTACATGTTTAATGGCTTACATGATGCACCCAAACTCTGCTATCTAAGTAAATTATGAGTAATTGTGAATTTCTTGTGATACTCAAAAGATAACTCCTTTTTTACGCCATCACATCACCACCAGCACAAGCTTTTCCATGTAAAGCTTCCTATATGTTTTATCATAGTAGACTTCTGCAGGCATTTTAGGTTTTCAGTGCTGAGAGAAAAGCAAGATTACCAGCTGTACCTAGTTCCAGTGTGCCACTTTCTCAGGTGATCTATTTAAAGTTCAACTTGAAAGGTACTACCTACTAAATACTTATGTTACCCAAGCAGACGGTTATTCCACCTCTTTTCTGCTCCTGGCATTCACTTCTTTTCCTATTTTTACTAAATTATCAGTAGTATGATGAGGACAATATTTATCCAAGATAGTAAGTGGCTAACTCCAACTTCCAGCAGGAGTCTTGCCTCCACCAGCCATCACATGCATTCCTTCTCATTCTCTAGAGGAGTGTAACAGTACAGATAAAATACTTTCCTTATGTGTACACAGATATACTTTATCTAGAAAGCTATGTTTATGTATGTATATATATATATAGCTATGTGTACATATATAAATATATTAAATATTTATCTCCATATCTACATCTAGTGGAAGGTATTCCTTCCCTTAGCAGGGAGACTGGAACTAGATGATCTTAAGGTCCTTTCCAACCCAAAGCATTCTATGATTCTACATAAGTGTAGATATACAATGTATAAGACTTCCTTTAAGAAGAGCTAAAGAAATGAATACTTAAAGTTTAAATGTGAATATAAAGGAATTATTAAATTTTTTTCTTACATGCTATGCTGCATTCATGCTATCCTGTATTCATGCTATCCTGTTCATAGCATGGATAACTCATCATGTCAGCAAGCCACAGCAATTATCCAATGTAGGTCAAGGCACTGGCATGGTATGCAAGATCAAAACTCTATTCTGTAAGTACCTTCTGGAGCAGAATTTGTGACTTATTGTCCAGTTGCTTATGGCAGAGGAAATTGCAGGGAATAAGGTTCACATTTCATCAAAATAACCTTAAATTTTATTGAACATCTTTAGATGTTATGTATCAATGACAGTAGAGAAAACAGTACTGATAGTCTCATCTCTAGATATAAGACAATGCCGACTGCCTTCCAAACAACAAAGAGTGTATGGCAGTAATAAATACTAAAACCAGGTTAAAATAATTGTTTTAACTTTGAATGTCAAGCAGTGTTAACATTTCAATGATGTGTTTTGTCAACATACTTCTACCTGCAGTCCTAGGATGCTTAGAAAAGAATTATCACCATCTGGAGTGTTACAGAAGTACAAAGCTGCTATCTGTTGTTTTCACCAAAACTTCAAATGAAATGGTGGCAGTAGAATCCATTTAATCAAATGTATTAGTGAGTTCGTATTTTTGGTAGCAGCAGATGGGTGGCAGTCTGGAAGACTTAGCTAGAAAAGGCTCAGGGTAGTTCTGAATATTTTCTTAGCGTGTAAGCATATGCTGGAAGTGGGTGAGTTACCACACTATAGCAAGTTACTGCTCATTAGTAGAAGCCGTGGTAACCGATCATGTGCCATTTAGTCCACTCAGTTTGCAAAGTATCAAACACATTAGATGATGGAGTTCACATTGGGACTAGTTTTTAAAGATGTTAAAGCTGGTCCGAAAGAATGGTTTTCATGCTGTAAGTGATACAGGCTAAGTGCAGTCTGGTTACCAGGGCTCAGGTTTATAGCACAATGAATAACACCAGATATGATACAATTACTTTTTGGTGTTCATCTATGCACTGTTACTCAGGAAGGCAACAGCTAGGTATCAGAGACCAAAATTATATTCTCTCTACCACGAAACTGTTGCCTGAACCCTAAAGGTACTTAATTTCTTCTTCCTTAATCCTAAAAAAAAAGAGTATGGCAAGGATTTTCTAAAGCTTTCAGTACTGTCTTAACAATACTCCCTTTTAAGTAGATAATTGCATTTCTGAAAGAACTTGCTTTTTAGATCCTTCAGTGTAAGACTAGACAGGTGCAAAACAATTACAGTTTGAAAACAGAGGCAGGAACAACTATGCTTCTTTTCTAGTAAAGTGACTGACTTTTCAGTGTATATAGATTTATTAATAAAAACATTATAAAAATTTTGAAAGCTTTTATTCCAGAAATTTATGCTAGCACATTTTCTGATTCTGCAGTTCAAAAAATACAGGTTCACCCCTCTTTCCATGGAGTCCCTCTGACTTCCATACTTCCATGCTTCTTTGGTTCAATGAACACCAAAGCCAGAAATCCAACAAAATTCTGCTTGCTACATTGCATATTCCTACTGCAAAACAACGTCCTGCACGAACTTTTGCATGCTGCCATCGGCAGCTCCAAATGCCTTATAGCAAATCTTAAACCGTCAGCAGTCTCAGGAATACATTGCAGATTTTAGAAATGAGCCCTACAGTTGCAAATTATAACTTCAACCTCCTTTCCCCTTTCCTCTTCTTTCCCTACTCCTCCCTCTACCCTCCCAATTGCATCCCAAAGATATCTCTGCTGCTGACATTAAACAGCATCAACGGGCTGTTACACAGTTCTTTGCAATTTCCATTTACACAGCAAAAAAGATACCACCCTTTGTTGCAGCTATTAGTAACGGGGTTTTGTGATTTGTGTTTGTACCTCTGGGGACTCTAGTATCATCCTGTTCTCGTATTTTGGAGGCCTCTATTATGAACTACTGAGATCCGTAGGTTTGCAGGTTTCTAATTTGGCAGTGTCAAAACAGCAGTGTGGTTAATCAGGTTATGTTAAATACTCAGACATTAGGACCAGGTGGTGTTCAAGGACAAAAAAGACTTTACTTCCATATGGAGTCCTTCAGTTCTGTAGCCTGTCTGCAAGTTTCACGGAAACCATCGTCAAGGCTTTGTTAAAGTACGCTTTGTTAAAGTACGCTTTGTTAAAGGGATGGAGAGGAGAATCGAAAAGAATGCAACTCCCACAGGTTGAGATAAGAACAGTTTAGTAACTAAGGTATAACACAAATCACTACTGCTACTACCAATAATAATAATGATAAAGGAAATAACAAGGGAAGAGAATACATCACCTCACCACCCACCAACCGGTAACTCGCCCCCCAGCCCAACCAAGCACTGACCAATACCTCATCCAACCCTGCAGTCTCCCAGCCCTTCCGGCTAACTCCCAGTTACATCCTGGGCATGACGTGCTGTGGTATGGAATACCTCTTTGGTCAGTTTGGGTCAGGTGTCCTGTCTCTGCTTCCTCCCGGCTTCCCCTCCTCCCTGGCAGAGCATGAGGCTCACAAAGTCCTTGGCCAAACCAAAACATCATTGTTATCAGCTCTGTTCCCGAGCTGAAAGTCAAAACACAGCACTGCACCAGTCACCAAGAAGGAGAAAAATGACTGCTACTGCTGAACCCAGGACAAGGGCTTTCTGACTATTTTGTCCCTGGTTGATGAAAACACTCAATGGTTTGTTTTTCTTTCTTTTAAAATAATAATTCTTGAAGCACTTGAAATCATTTTAGAAATAAAAATAAAACTCTTTCTAGAGGAGATGTGATCAACAGGGAAGAAAAGAGTCTATAAAGTAGCAGCATACGCCATCTTTGCTGGATTTGAAGAATTTCTGGTATTTGCAATATTTGCCAGATGAATATTTAAGAATACTTCTGAACAGGCAGACTCAGATAACCTTGTTCAACTACAGGAATCACTCTTATTTACACATAAAGATCATCAAACTTGCAAGATTTTTCTGTGACTTTGTTTTGTCTATACTTACATTAATACCTGAGGATGTGGTAATACCTCTGTAGCTTATCAGGAATTTTTGTTGTAAGTAGTTCTTCAGCAATTAGGATATTCTGGTAGAGACATAACTTTTGCAGTAATGTGCTGATTTTGATGAGCATTTCGGGGAAAAAAGAAATTATTTGTGTTTTCATAAACAGCTGATTGGAGAAAGAGGTCCTTTCTTACAGATAGCTGTTATCATTCAGGTTTTCATGTGGAAGCGGAGCTTACATTTGTTACAAAAACCAAACCAAACCAACTCAAACCTGTCAAGTGCAAACTAGGAGCGGGATTTCCATGAAATACTGCACCATTTCTCTATAAGATCCCCAAGAGCAGAAAAACTTTGGTCCCTAGTTGAGAAAAACGGCAGGATTAAAAACAGAGAACCTGTGGAGGGAAGGATTGCTTCACTAAAGCTAAAATGGAGTAAGGCTTCTGGCATGTCAAATTAGGAAACCTCTGAATCAAATCATTAAAATAAAAACTGCTTGAAAGTCAGCAAGTGCTTCGTTCTCCAGGGGTACATTAATTTAAAAATTAATATTATTCACAGTGACAAAGGACAGAAATCAATAAGTTTCTTGTAGGAAACATGGAACAACAGCCACAATGAAATGAAATTAAGAACAAAGATAAATATACATGTGCTTCTGTATGAATATCAGAATCCAGAAATAAAAGGAATGGACAGAAAAGACTGGTTTAAATAAGGATATTGCTACATTGGGCATGTACAGAGTTGGTGAAAAATAAGTTATAATCTATGGAATCACTTAATATTGTGGAGTAAAGCACTTGGAAATACTGAAATAAAGTCCAAGAAGTGGTTCTGACAGATGAAGAAATGAAGAAAGCATGGAGTGAAATAAGGCAATAACTTGAATTGTACCAACAAGAACCAGCGTCTGTATGAGTCTGAAGATCAAGAGGTAATTTAGAGAAGTGTAGCAGCTATAATACTAGAATATATACAGTTACTCGGCAACCTACTAGCATGGTAGTAATGAGTGTAGTGAGTAGAAATCAAAAGAGCAGAACCTAAACTGATAGCAAGAGATTCTGATCATTGCTAAATTTGCTACACTTTGGAAGACAGCTTCTCAGAGCAACAGGCTGAAGGAAAACATCTAAGCAGCATGTAGGAAAACATTACTTCTCTTCAGCAATAACCAAAAGGTGCTTACATTTAGGTAAGGAAAGAATCCACTACACAAAAATTAATTTCTCTTTGAATTTCATTGTAGAGAGGGAAATGAAACAGCTGGTTGAAATACCTACCCAAAAGGCTGCAATAGTTGCAGCACCTCAATCACTTAAAGATGTGACGGAGAATACACACAATAGATGCATACACTGCACAAAAATGACAACAGGAGAAGTGAGCAGAAGAGAGGCAAGGATGTAGAGGCAAGACTTACATCTTTAACAGGAGAGTAAAGAAAGATACTAGAAATAAAAGATACTTTTGTAAGACGTGTCCTACTGAAAGAAACAGTAAAGGGCACGCCAGGAAGTTAAAACTTTAACATGGCAATTCTTTAACAAGATAATGAAAAACTTGCTAAAAGGAAAAGAACCCCTAGCCCTACAAATAAAACTTCTTTTCCAAATACATTGACCTTTACAGAACTGATAGGTCCACAAATGGTAAAGAAGTGAAAGGAGTACTCTTGGAAAGCAAGATGAATAAAGATAGAAACAGAAAAAGGACAAAGAATTATTTGGACAAAGCTGCTATTTTAGGGAAGTTGCTATATGAGTTTTTAGTTAGAATGAATCTGAAAGATTGGTTTAAATTCAAGTATCAATGCCAAAAGTTTGAGAGTAGTAACTGTCTACCGTTCTGCATAGTATATGCACAAAACTAATAGAATTTTCCTTGACCTATTAACTTTTGTGTGGCCTCAGGACCAGAAGAACAGAGAACTGTAAATGCAGTGTGACTCTTTTTTACGGTGAGAGGGAAGAGAGTCTATTGAATAGCAATAGACCAGAAAATCTGATTTATCTAGTGGATAAATTGGAAGAAAACATACAGACAGAGCTATAAGACATATAGACAAGTATGATACAATGGATGTACAGTCAACATTGCTTTTGAAAGAAAGAAGGCACATCTGTGAAATTTTATTAGCTTTCCCTGAAATCACAGTTGGGAGAGTGGAATGAAGGTGACCAGGCTGTTTTTAGGAAATAGGATATTCAAAAATTGGTTTGATACGATGCCTCCCTAAATCTCTTGGCGAAATTAAATTAACAGAAGCAAAAATCAATTAATTAATTAATAGCCAACTCAAAGACAAGAAAAAAGTTGTGGTGAGCTCAAGTTACCAGAAAGTCCCAGAGAGTATCAGCGATAGATGATTTTTTTCCTTCTTTACTGTGCCATATCTTCCTGAGTAACTTGAAAAGGGATATGAGTAAAAAAGAAATAAAGAAGATGGGAGACATAGTTATGCCACTTTGTCTCAATCCAGATACACTCAAGAGGTACCCATTTCTTGAACATTGAGCACAGTGCACATGTGACAAAATGAGAAGTCCAGAAAAGGGTAACAAGAATAAGCAAAGATAAGAAATCATTTTCATAGGAGGTGAAATTGCACAAAGCATGGCTCAGGACAAGTTGGTAGGGGAAGGGTGTGTGTGTGTGGATAGTGTAATAAATGGTTTGAAATAAATTATATGGACATGATATACAGAAAATGGATATTCACTATTACTTATAATGCTTCAAGGACTAAAGTGAAATATATCCGAGAGTCACTTCAGAGTCACTTCCTTAACTGACATACTTTATGACTCAGGATAGACATTACTGTTTAAATTATGACTGGGATTACCAGACCTAATCTTAAAGATGGAATAGTATCATCTATTTCAACCAATTTCAACTGTTGGTTAGACCTGTAAAACCTGAGAGTACGAGACATACCCTGTAATATATTTGTGCACAAGCTTTATACTTTTCTATTAGTTCTCCATTACTGTTGCAAACTCTTATCATAATTCCATGCTCAAATATAATTTATAGTTAAATCATTTTCCTACAAAACCTGCAAGCTTTTCCATAGATTTTGTTCTCCTGAAAGTAGTATTTCTGTCTGTTCATGTTTGCAATGCATCTTGTATAGATACAAAGAACAGATGAATAGTTATGCAGGTTTTGGAGTCCTACACTTTGTGACCTTCTTGTTCAATGAACTTGATTAAAAGTTGATGATTGGTGAAAAGTACAAGATTTTTGAGGTTATAAATTTTATTTTCTGATCATGTGATTTTGAGTAATAACTGAGTGTTTATAGGAAAATAGTACTTTAAATAGAACTTTAATCTATACTGATCTCAATTTAACTATCTGAAATTACGCATTATAGGTCAATGCATGCACACAGATATGTATTTTACTTGTATACAATTTATTTAACTGTGCACATAAGGTTTTTGCCACAGCGTTATCTTAGAAAAAACAAGCATTTTGAGTTAGCATCAATGGTAGGTAATACACAGATATTTCTAAATCCCGAAGCGTCAGGTACAGCAGTACCTAGCCTGTTGACATCAAGGCAGTATCAACTCATTATCAAATTGAAAAAACCCTATGCTTCTTGAATTGCCAGTATTAGTCTTCTGGTGCCTTGATTCGCCAACCTTCCTTAGCTTATAAGAGCTGACAAGAACACAGCCCAATGTGTCATGCGTGCTCAGAAAGTTATGGAAATGTATTTGAAATTTGGTGCTCAAATGGACTCTGAAGTGGAGTTACTCTTTGTCAAGTTTCAGCCCACAGAAAGATTATAAAGCTGAGCTATAAACTAGTAAAATAGAATTTGCAAAGCAAGTGCTGACATGAGTCTCAGGCATAATAGGATGAGCACTATCACATATGAATGAGTCTTTCTCTCTTTCACAGTAGCATGTCATGCAATATGCAAATAACTTGGCTTAATGAACAGCTTCATTTAAAAAAAAGAGTTCATGTGGTTAAACACTCAGAGACAGTTATTAATGTTTTAATTTTATGGACTGAACTAGGATGCATAAAATTAAATCCAACAAAACTTTAAAAATAATTAAAAAGAAGTCAACTAAATGAAAGTGATCATAAGCTAGTATGTTGCTGCTAGGTTAGGGTTTCTAACTCATGGAAACTGAAAGGAATATACTGTACAGGCAGTAAATAATAAAATCATTCATATAAAAATACATCTGGATACTCATGTAGTATGTCACAATAACTTTAGTTAAGCTACTTAAAGAAGTTCAAGATGAATTAATAGCGGCTTATAGGTATGAGATATAGGTATACACTAGGTAGAAGGCTTATAGGTATACACTACCTATACATGGTACTGCTTTCAATGAATGAGTGTAACTCCAGACAGCTTAGAGAAAGGAAAATCTCAGCTAAGAAGCTTTGAATAAAATAGACATACACAACAACATTGAAGGTCTTAACTCATTATAGAACTATTTATATACTAGGTCTAAATATGCTGAATAATATGGGTTTTAATAATAATTAAAATTTCAACTCTACTGAAAACTCAAATTTGAGTTTTGTAATAGGATCGTGAAAGAATCTGCTATAATATTTACCAGCAGCTTAGTGATACCTTGTTCCAGGTTCTTCAGATCTTTCAGGAGGTTTTATTTCTCACTTCTGCTAATGCAGACCCACATTGCCAATTTGTGTGGGCCTATTTGAAATGAGCAGCAATGTGGTTTGCATTTGAGTTACTCTAACAGATTTTTGTAGTTATTTAAAAGATGTAGCATGTAGTTGATGAAGGTTGGATATATTCAGTGTTTCTAAAAATGGTCCTTTTGTTAATTTTCTTAGTAACTTTTTAATTTTATAATTGCAAAGAAAAAATAGACTGATTCTTTAATCTCATACTAGGTTAAAGAGTATATCTCTTTTTTAAATATTGTTTATTTTGAAACTCTTTACAGTCAGCTCCACTCTCTGAACCTCTTATATGTTGGTGAAGCATCTCCATGCCCAGTAATTCAACATAGTCTTCCAGCTCACAGGCTTTTCTCACTGGTTCTGGTGTGGCAAATTCCCCTAAATGTAAGCACTACTATCTCTCCCCTACATACACAAATACCCCTAAGCACCTTCTCTGCAGATGACAGCCATTCCCCTCGAAGGCTAAAACATACACCTACATTGGAAATGTACAGTCTACAATGCTACCAAAGCTGGCAGGCCCAACAGCAACAGGTCCAACTTTTCTGGTGTCAAACCTACAACACACAACAACTGTTTGTCCAGTATTTCCAAAATAGCTACAGCCTAGGCTGCCAGACTTCCCAAAAGCAGTGAATCATTGCCAGCAGTAGC